TCTCTCTCTCTCTCTCTCTCTCTCTCTCTCTCTCTCTCTCTCTCTCTCTCTCTCTAAGCTCCTACTAGCGCCCAGCGCTGAAGACTACTACTATCACTACTCCAGCATGCCGCTGCCAGATCTTGAAGACTACCTCCTGCCTTCTGCACGTGAAGTGCCTGTCAACTACCTGCAGCCTGCAGGGCGGGACAGCATTATAGTGCTGGCCTGTCCAAGAGGCTGCTCGTGCCTATGCCAAAACGTGCTAGACCCTAGGGTTGACGCTCCACAAAATAGGCCTTAGAGGCCTGAGCTAAGACCCCGGTCTGGTGCCCGAGTTTTAGGGTAGGTCGATCTTGCGAGGGCCTAAAATGGCCCGTCGTTTTCAGGCTGGAGGCCGAAACGACACAGGGCCTGAAACAGGCCCTACCCCTACGGACCCTTAGTCTACCACCAGGTCGGGCTCTACTGGGCCCGTGTGGTACGGAGTATGCCACACTCCCCCCTCCTTGAAAGACCGAGCTTACCTGCGAGGGCGAAGCTGTATGGTGGAGGGAGGGACTGAAGTCCGGGTGGGAGGCTGTGCAGCTTCCGTCGCTAGCCGTTTCTTCTCATAATGAGCATAGATGTCAGGAGCGGAGGCTCGCAAAGCTGCCCGGGAAATCCATCGTGTGTCATCGGGGTCGCACCACTTGAATGTGACATTGTACTGCATAGGCTTGTTGTCGTGCTTGCGATGCGTGATGGCGCGGTCGACTTCCTGATGACCATCTATGCAAGGAGGGTCCTGTGATTGTCGTCCCGGGAAGTCGTCGCTCTTGGCTGGTGTATATGTGGCCAGCTTGGAGGCGTGGAAAACCGGGTGCACCGTGAGGTGCGGCGGGATTTCGATCACGAATGAAGCGCCATCGGGCTCATCACCCACGGCTGATGTGATGGGCCATGGTCCAAACCACTTTGGAAGTAGCTTGCGGGATACATCTTGCTCAAGTGCAAACTCTTCCGTGGAGACCCAAACAAGGTCGCCAGCGCGGATATGGCATGGCACGCGACGCCTGTTAGCTTGTTGTTGCATGCGGACTTGAGCCTTTTGCATGTTGGCGCGGGCTTTAGCCAGCAAGTCCCTATACTTCCGAACGGAGGCGGGCGAACAAGCGGCGTCAATGTCGGCAGTCCTTGGAAAAGGAAGATCAGCGAAGATGCGGCCTTTCCGGCCACCGTGGTGTAACTCAAACGGAGTCACGCCGATCGCCGGGTGCACCGAAGTGTTGTTGGCAAACTCGATGTCGGGGAGGCGGTCCACCCAATCCTTCTGATCCGTACGGATGAGTGTGCGAAGCATTACTTGAGCGGTTTGATATGCCCGCTCCGTCTGCCCGTCCGTTTGCGGATGCCGAGCCGAACTTGGTTTCATCTCGGTGCCGGACTCTTTCATGAGAGAGGTCCAAAATGCCGACATGAACCGATGTCTTCCGGAACGCCGTGGCCGCAAATCCAGCCGGTGTGTAAGAGGCGTGCAAGTTCCGGAGTCGTGGCGTGGTACTTGCAAGGAAGGAATCGTGCGTACTTGCTCAAACGGTCAACAACCGTGAGAATGTCATCGTGCCCGAAGCGGTCCACGGGGAACGGCCCAGTGACGTCCATGGGAATGGAGAGGCCGGGTTCCCGTGGAATAGGCAATGAGCGTAACTCATCGTAGGGGGTGCGATTGCGGGGTTTGCTTCGTCGGCAAACTTCGCAAGAGTCGCAATACCGAGTGACGTCGGTAATGAGGTCAGGCCACCGGAATGCTGCCGAAGTCTTGCGATAGTACGGTTGACTCCGAGGTGGCCGGCGAGTCTCGAGTCGTGGTACTCGTCGAGGAGGCGAGTCCGTAAGCGACGGTCGTGTGGGACGCATAGTAAGTCCTTGCCTCGTGAGTGAAGCAGGAGGTAGCCATCGATGATGCGATAGTGGCTGGTCGGCGGGTGATCTGAGGGTAGTTGCTCGTAGAGCGTGGCGTATTCCGGATCGGACTTGTATGCTCGCACAAAATGCTGATTAAGGGCTTCGTCGAAACTGAACGCGTGGTGAGTCACTGCGCAAAGATCTGATCTTCGCGAGAGAGCATCCGCGGCTCGGTTGGAGAGGCCCGGGATATGTTTCGGTGTGAAGTGAACTGATCGATGAAGTACATCCACCGAGCAATCGTGCTGCTCACCGTGTCTTGCGTCTTGTAGTAGGTCAATGGGTTATTATCTGTCACCCAAGTGAACCTACGACGCCCAAGGAGGAAGTGTCGCCAACGCTTGAGTACCGTGACGAATGCGAGCAACTCCTCCTTCCGCGCATCATCAACCGAGTTGACGGGAGGCACCTTTTGGCTGAAGTACTCAACCGGGTGCCAATCTACTCCGTGGTGTTGTTCCAAAACTGCACCCATGTCGTAGCCGGAAGCGTCTGTAGTCACTCTCGTAGGCATGGTGGGATCGTAGATACTCAAGACGGGAGCGAGGAGCAACGCCGTCTTCAATTTGTGGAACGAACGGCGAACTTCGTCGGTGAACTGGAAGGGCACCTGTGGAGACTGCAATCTGGACAAAGGTGCGGCGATCCGTGCTTATCCTCCGATGAAGCGTTGGTAGTACCCGGTCAATCCCATGAAAGAGCGAACCTCCGTGGTGTTGGTCCGTTCCGGCCAATCCGAATGGCCTTGATCTTGTCCGCAAGCGGACTGATGCCTTGCGGCGTCACAAAGTGGCCCAAGTACTCGAGCTCTTGCTGTGCGAATTCGCACTTGGCTCAGTTGGCCTTGTACTTGGCCGTACGTAGCCTGTCCAAAACAGCACGTCGATGCACGATGTGCTCGTCCAAAGTTCGGCTATACACCAAGATGTCATCGAGGTAGATGAGCACGAACCGGTCCAGCTTGTCGCGAAATTCCGTTGTCATTGCCGCTTGGAAGGTGGCCGGGGCATTCGTGAGGCCGAATGGCATTACGACCCACTCGAAGTGCCCGTACCGTGTCTTGAACGCGGTTTTGTACCTATCTCTTGGATGGATCTCGAGCTGGTGGTAACCGGATTTGAGGTCCAACTTGGAGAAATACTTGGCGCCGCCCAAGCGTTCAAGAAGATCGTCGATGCGTGGGAGCGGGCCGGCATTCTTAATGGTTTGAGCATTAAGCTTGCGATAGTCAATGCATAAACGTAGCTTCTTCTTCTTCCGAACGAAGAGAAACGTAGCTTCTTGTTCTTCTTCCGAACGAAGAGAACAGGTGCACCATAGGGCGAGCAACTAGGGCGAATCAAGCCCTTGTCAATGAGGTCATCGAGTTGCGTTCAAAGCACTTCGAGTTCCTCCTCGCTCATGAGGTAAATACATCCGCGCGGAGGTACGGCCCCGTCTTCGAGGATGATCTCGTGACGAATTGGCCGATTTGGTACGATTCCGGCGGGGGCTTCAAAGACGTCGCCATAGGAGTCAAGAAGTTGTACAATGCGTGGATCCAGTGGTTGTTCCGCCGCTGGCTCGTCGGGAGGAGGGAGGGCGTGCAAGAAACAAATGCCCATTTCCTCCACGTCATTCCGTGCGATGGAGTTGCGAATGCTTGCCGCGGAGACCACGTGACAACCAATCGAAGGATGAGGTGGGGGGACCGTACATGGCACAAGTACCCCGTTCCGGTCACGAACATGAACGGTGTGGCGGTAGAAGTTCACCGGGTGGTCCTCGCTGCGCAGCCATGACATGCCCAAGATCATGTCGAACTTTGTGTCCAATATGTCGAAGGACACGGCCTCGCATGCAAGCGGGGTGAAGTACAGGGGGACGGAGTCAATGCACCGGTCAATGGACTTGTGCGTACGACTGTCGGCCAACGTGACTTGCGTGGGCGGCAATTTCCTTCGAACGCGCAGCCCTAGGCCCGCGTTGGTCATGAAGTCCTAGCTGATGTAGTTGTGAGTAGCTCCACAATCAATCAAGGCGCTGCAGGTCGCCTTCCCGATCTGAATGCGGACGTAGAGTAACGGTGCATCGGTGTCGTCGTACCGTTGCGTGGCGTACTTGCGGTCAATCTTCGCAATGTACTCGCGAAGGTCAACAACCGCTACTCCATCTTCCATCAACGGAGCTGGTACTGCAGTGTGCAAGTAGTTGTGTAGCTCCGCCATTAGGGCGTTGCAATGCGGCTTCGGCAAGGAACCAGATGGGGGAAGAGGCAACCATTGGAAGTCCTCCGGTGTCAATGGGTCGAGTTCCTCAAGTCTAGACCACACCGACGAGTCCCCGAGTGATGTTGGCGAGGATGCTGGTTCACTTGGCGATGGTGATGAAGTCGCGCACGCAAATGAGTCTTGCATGTGGAGAGGTTGGTCCAACGGCGGGACCAGCTGGACAGCATAGTCCTCATACTCTTCGCGAAGACTGGAGACATACGCATGTTCCCCGAACGTGGAGGAGGTTGTTGGCAAGGCAACCGTGTCCGCGAAGAGTATGAAGACTATGTTGTCCAGCTGGTCCCGCCGTTGGACCAAGAGAGAGAGAGAGA